ACCAGCTTTGATGGAAAAAACTCATTCAATTTCTTATAGCTAATATAAATTATTTCGCTTGGTCCCATCTCGATATGACAGGGATTCCGCCAGAGATAAATACTCACAAGCTAAGACTGGATCCGAAGTTCCATCCGGTCAAGCAAAAAAGGAGACCTCAGTCCGAAGTTAAGCATGCATTCATCAAGGATGAGGTATCTAAACTCTTAAAAATAGGGTCCATCCGGGAGGTTAAGTACCCGGATTGTTAGCAAACGTAGTAGTAGTCCCTAAAAAGGGTAATAAATTATTAAGAATGTGTGTAGACTATAAAAGCATCAACAGGGCATGTCCCAAGGACTCTTTCCCTTTGCCAAATATCGATCACATGATCGATGCAACGGCCGGATACGAGAACCTCAGTTTTCTCGATGGTTACTCTAGGTATAACCAAATTTGGATGGACCCGGATGACCAGGAAAAAACGTCCTTCATCACCAAATACGGTACCTACTGGTATAACGTAATGCCATTTAGACTAAAGAATGCCGGTGCCACTTACCAATGCCTAGTAAATCGGATGTTCGAAGAGCAAATAGGAAAATCAATGGAGGTTTACATTGATGATATATTGGGTAAGTCCCTGCGAGGAGAGGACCATTGCAAACATTTGCAGGAAACTTTTAACATATTGAAGAAATACAATATGAAGCTGAACACGGAGAAATATGCATTCGGAGTCGGGTCCGGGAAATTCCTTGGATTCATGGTGTCCAACTGGGGAATTGAGATTAATCTCGATAAGATCAAGGTCATCGATGACATCACCATTGTAGATAATGTAAAAGCCGTTCAAAGGTTAACCGGGCGCATAGCCGCTTTGGGTCGATTATCTCGAGGTCCTCTGACAAGAATCATCGGTTCTTTTCACTGTTGAAGAAGAAGAATAACTTCTCATGGACCCCGGAGTGCCAACAAGCCCTGGAGGAACTCAAGCGGTACCTCTCAAGCCTATTTTTGCTTTATACTCTGAAGGCAGATGAACAATTGTACTTGTACTTAGCCATATCCAAGGTAGTGGTAAGTGGATTAGGTACATATATGAGAAATTAAGAGTCTTAAGCATATTGAGTTTTCTCACACAATTTGGCATCATAACCTTTATTTGAAACACAACTCAAAGACATAGCATTTTAATACACATATCATTCTTGAACACATTCCCAAAAGATAACTTAATGTGATAGGAACATTCAGAACACGCTTTGAATACATAATCCTCGACACTTTGCTTATTCGTGGCAATCGAATTTATTGGGAACAACTCACAATATAGAATAAGGAACTTGGGACAACCATACTTGAAACTTATGAGAACATCATTGAATTAAATTCTAAGATAGTAGTTTAGCCAACATACCTTGCTTTAAGCTTTCCTTAAATTACTACAATATTTCGGAAATTCTAGCAATTCCAATCTATTTTGAGACATAACAAAATTGAATACAAATTAGGAAGGTATTCATGGTTTCAGCTCATTTGAGCATTTTATCAAACACTATGTGTGCAAATTTGGCTACAAGGTTCTTCTACAAGATTTCCTTCATTCTACAACCCAATCTTTACTTATTTGAGCTCAACAACCTTCCCACAAACCTTATTGTTACATACATGTATAAGTAATACTCTCATACCCCATAATTATACTCCAACTCAACCATCTTCTGCCTAAATTCGAAACTAAAAACTAGGGTATGGAACCTTACCTCTTAGATGAAGAACTTGTGAGATTTCCTTGTTGGATTTCAAAGCTTGGACAAGATCTTGATGAACAAAACACTTCATCTACTTCCTCTCTCTAGAACACTCTTACTTCTCTCTAAAAAACCTCAGATAATTGCCCCAAAATAATCTCCAAAGCATATTTATCAAAATAGGGTCGGGTTATGAAAATAAAAAAATTAACCCTCCGAAAGCAGGTCTGCGATCGCATAATGGACCGCAGAATGGCTATGCGGGTCGCAAAATGCACCGCAAAATCGGTGCCAAAAACTGGGCTGTACTGGTCCATTCTGCGACCAATTTTGCGGTCGCAGAATCAGTTTCGCGATCGCATATTTATTCTGCGATCGCAGGATTGGTCGCAAAATCTCATTTTTCCAGCCTTTGATAATTTGGTTATAACTTCTTATAGGAGTATCCAAATGACAAACGGTTTGAAGCGTTAGAAACTAGACTCAAAGATCTTGAATTTGATAGGTAGATGATTGCCTAACTAGTTATAGTTTGGTAGCAGCATGTGTTTGAAATAAGATCTTATGCGAACTCACTTAAAACTTTATCCCATCATAAACTTTTCAACTTGACTTAGCCTTGGGGCTCTTCTTAGACCATAAACCCTTCTTAATGCACCTCATACATATATTATCATGATCAATTGATATAATTCTTATAATAGCCCTTGTGTGCACACAAAATAATATAATTAGTGCACATCAATTTTCTTTATAGCGCTTAAGTACTTTAAAATTTTCTGGGGTGTTACAATATCCCTGGTAGCAATGATGACGAACAACTCCATCCATCCACGGTCATTATCATCATCCATGCTGGTGAGAAGGGCATGGTGGCCATGTTTACTGAACTTTATTACTCCACCATGAAAGATTTTGGGGGAATAGAGATTCATCATGCATGCCAGGGTTAGGGTTTCCCCAGTCTCCGTGCACAGCTAGCGAAGACATGTCACAGTTCGCCATATAGAACGGCCCACTTGTGCCAAATAGACGTGGTACCAATGGTAGAACTCCAAGATCACATGATCAAGACCCCTGCTCAAAGAAAACGGACCCAAGGTGAAGGGATACGTATAGACATACGTAAAGCCTTCCTTGGTGAAGGAAACTCACTCTATCAAGTCAGGAGCGATGATGTTAAGGTCTCGACAGTTGCAATCTTCCTTCACAGCAAGAGTACCGGAAGAGCGAATAAAAGAAGGATATCTGCTAACGGCCTAAGTCCGTGGAGACACAGAGGGGAACTTCTCTTGGAAGTCATTAACGATGCTCAGATGCTTGGGTATGATGATGCTCACCGTGGGAGGATCAACATTAACATCAAACTCTTTATCTTTGCTTCTCTTCGGGCCTCCACCGAAGAGAAGACCAGAATTTCCAAAGGATTCAGTAAAAAAACCATGATAGTAAAAGGGATGGTGAAGTTTTTTGAAGAAGAACCGGAAAGCGATGAAAGCAAAAGGAGGTTAAGTGCAAAGAAATGATGAACTTGTGAAAGTTTTGGAAGTGAAAGAGGTAAAATGATGAGTATAAGTAAAGATATATGCGGCAAAAATCATGTTCATAATTACCTCGAGAACCGGCAAAAATATTGTTGAATCGTGGGGCGAAATATGTTCGGGATATTAAATGTAAGAAGACGTGCGTCCTTTTCAAACGTCAGAGTCTGTTTAGAAGGATTTCAGAAAATTTCCTACCAAGAAAGGAATCTTCACCAACTTCCCAATGACACAAGGATGTGCCACCGGAAAGTAGGGAGACTATATGTATAGAGTAATATTGGTTTATATTAAATGATCAAATAGTAGCATGACATGTGGGACCGAAGACAGGTCGAAGGAAAATCAAATAATAACCTGTATCGAGAACAGCAGTTGCAGTTGCATAGGATAAACCCCGAAGGGAGCATGATCAACGTGAGCAGATTGAATGTTTGCCATCGGAACATTCATCGGATAACATTCAATGAAGAATATTTCCTGGTATTAAATGGGTAGCTGTTGCAGAGAATATTTATATTCATAGCCTGCCGTTACATATTCATCAATGGCCCTCTTTGTTGTCATTTAAGAGGGGCTTGATCCTAGGATCTTGTATCCATAGGTCTATCTATAAATAGTAGGCTTAACAGCCATTGTAACATACAAAATTTTTGGCGAAACTCATGTTATATTCCATTTCTCAAGCTCAAAAATATAACTTTATTTGCTCTTTTGCATTGTTCTTATTTCTGTCCCGGAGGTATCGCTCACGGAGCCAACTTTGTCACTTCCTTTGATTTTAACCTCTAAGTCTTATTTTTAATCTTGTTTATTTATCATTTTTGGATCAAATCAGTTTGTTTGTCTATAAACTACGCAATAAATTTAATTGTATCGTTTTACGAGTAAACAATAATAATTTAGGTTTTGGCTGCTCGTTCAATGTTTATGTTCCTTATATTTGTTGTTCCTTACCAACAATTACTGCTTGTTAATGGATGTAATTGTTTAGACAAAATTAAAGGTACTTTTCATCTTTCGTTTCCTCGAATGTTTTGTACAACTTTTAAAAATAACCTTTTCAGTTTAGACGACATTTAAAATTGACTTTTCAGATTTTCAATAGAGCACTTAATAAAAGAAAAGTGTAAAAAATTTAAGAAAAAAGATAAAAAGAATCCTAGTCTCTAGAGGTGCCATATATATATATATATATATATATTTTTTTTTTTTCTTTTTCTTTTTTTAAATTGTCATTTATAAAAGAAAAATTTACACTATATAACTGCTCCTAAAAAAATATCAGTATAATATATATTTTATGCATAATCTGTGTATATGTTTATATATTTTTTGACGATGTGTATTCATTTAACAATAGCCGGATTTACAAGTGCTAATTGAAAAATAGTCACAGTTTCAAGAGTAATCGAAATTTAGCTACTTTTCATGTAAAGATAAATATGAATGAAAACATTATTCAAAATTCGGAAAATATTCCAGCATAATATACTGGAGTTCGAATTTTTTGCATGTAAACTTCCAGCATAATATATTGGAGTTCCAGCATAATATACTGAATTTTCAACATAATATGCTAGAAGTTCATACACAAATACTCCTATTTTCAGTATATTATGCTGAAATTTTCAATATTAGCAGCAAAATAATGGCTATTATTCAATCACTTTACAAACGCCCACTATTTTTCAACTAGTAAAACCTTGCCAGCGAGTGCTATTTTCACAAATACAACCCGATGCCACATAGGTGGAATCCAATTCAAAATCTGCAAAATTTTTACAAGGGTTTAGTTAAGGGTTTTGTGGGAGTGATTACTCAATGGAGGGCAGGAAGTTGGTAGCAAAGCAATTCCTCAAGGACAAAAAATTCTGGGTCGCCTCTTTCCTCGTTGTCTGGGCTGCTGCTCTGCAGGTAATATCATTTTTAAGTAAAATGCTTGGATACTGATTTCCACACATCGTGCACGAACTAATGGCGAAAATTGTGCAATTTTCGTGCAGGGGCACATGATGTGGTTGCAGAGGCAAGATTCTTTCAAGCACAAATTTGGAAACTTAAACGACGAAGGCACCAATCAACAGGATAATCACTCGTCAAATTAACTACTTGTGAGATTGACTTGGATATTTTCTTCTCTTTCTTTTGATGGGATTATGAACTTGACGAAATTTTGTTTGACAAGAGTAAAATAGCGAAGCCTTTTTTATTTATTAATAATATGGTAGTGTCCAGGAGCGGGTACGTTGACTAGCTCAAGTGTATATTAAGAATTAGAAAGATGGGAAGAAATAACCTAGTTATTCTTTTCTCTAATTTGAACCAATTTGAACCTGAGACTTCATGGTTCTCCGCCCATTTCATTATCCATTAGGCTACAACCTTGGGCGCATATCAGAGCCCTTTTCTGATGGCATATTGGATAAATTTCCTGTCTTCATATGTTAGGGTCATGACTTTTGCTGCATTCTTATGAGTGAAATTTTGAGTTTTCCTTTTGAAGTATCAATATGATTGACATATATAATTTACCTATTGATGGTCTAATAAAGAGATGCCTTTCAGGAACCTCCAATATGCCATAACGTCTTTGATGAATTGGTGGACTATTTGTATCCTTTAAGGGCAGGGAATGCCTAATAAGAACTTATAGATACAGTTGATGATGCTCTCAATAGCCCATCTAAACTCTACATGGCTCTAATTTCTTCTTTGTACTCTTGCTTGGTTCTTTCTAGTAGTGTTGTCAAATGCAAAAAGCTACAAGGCCTGTTAGAACCTAATTCAGAAAGCTAGTGAAGAAACACGACAGTTATTTGAAATTATGTGGGGAATGCTCGTGTTTTTAGTGCCAAGTAAGTAAGAACTTTTTTTTAAACACACACACACACACATGCATATCAAATATCAAAGATAGGTCATGTATTTTTCTGATCAGTCAAAGAAAATTCATCCATAAGAGACGTTAAGCAATGTTTCATCAATATGGTGAGCAAAATTATGCAATGTATCAATCTGGTAACCATCAGATTTTTATCAGTAACATAAGCATATTCATCTATAGCATCATCTTCTTTCTCATTATGATGACTCTCATTAGTATCCACCTCCTCTTCTATCTTAATATGCTGAGATTAAAACTTGAAGCTTAGGTTGAGATAGCTCTTGTATGTTAAGCTTCGCTATCTATTGCCCTTGGCACATCACTGAAGTTATATATATATATATATATACACTTTTTTTGAGAAAATAAACTCTATATATTTCATAAATTACTGCTAGTAGAGTTATAGAACTGTTTAGGAATTGAATGGGAACATTTGCACTTAATTTGAAATTTTGTTGCTTTGTTATTGTTGCCATCATAAGACCAAATTTTTGTTCATCTTTTGGTAATAGTGGTATCATAATTGGAATCTTCTCTCGTATTTCAATGCTTGGAACTGGTTTTTCTCTACAACTATCCATTACACTTCTGGAGTTATCAATGATAGATCCAGATAGAAGTATTCAGGATTTTAGCAAATAGCAATCTCTGTTATGAATGATGCAATTAGCATTCCCATTTTATTCTCTTGGGCTAGTCTTGTCAAATGATATTTGGTCTCTTAAATTGAACATGCTGGACTTTTTTGTCAATGGATATCCCATAAAAGCCATAACATTGTGGTGCTAGTATATAGGAATTCGATAGTTGGTAGATTTCATAGAAACATTTACACCATGTGCAAGTGTATGCTATTGCTGAGTTATATGTTCGATAGTTGTTGAATGTGTTAAATTACTGCCAAGAAGATTACTAAAGGTGAAAAATTCACAATGTAACTTGATGGTTTGTACTGTGTTAGGTAGTCATGTTTCCACCATAGGACTGGCAGGTTATTACCAAGTCATCTATTGGATAGTTTCGGAATTTGTTAGCCAGTAATTATCAACGGTGATAAAGGAATAACTGCAGATTTTGGAGTGTATCTGCTGTACCATGACCGCAGTTGTTTATGCAAAATAAGAATAATGACATCAAAATTGTATCAAAAGATTATTTTGATGTGTATAAAAGTTTTTTTAATTTGTTAGAAGGATATGTTTCAATAAATACTCATCTACATTGGACAACCATCATTTTTATCCGTCTATTTCATTCATTCAATGAGATTTGCTTTGAGCAAGAGTTGTATATTATCTACATCAGTTGTGGTGAATTGACGTCATTGGTAATAAATACGGGAGTCCGGTCTTCACCCTGGAACCAGTTATGGAGGATGGTGATTTCTCTGTGTGTTTTATGTGGTTGAGTAAGTTGAATGAGTGCTTATTTCCTACCGGAATCAAAGGTGAAATGATTTTGATTGGAGAACTGAGAATGATTCTTGGTGGTTATCTGACTTTGTCACCTAGTATTAAAGCTGACAAGCTTATGTAGATTTTCCTTAGATAAATGCTAAAGAATAAAGTTATACATAACATGCAGAAATGACGAGGGCAGCTTCTGTGGTAGGTCTACTTCCTAAGCTCGGTGTGAATCATTCAATTGCAGTTAAAAGTGTGAAATGCTTTCACCTTATGTATTTCTTGGAATTTTGAGGATGTCTTGCTCAGGCTAGTTAAGCATTAACTGAGAACTTGAGCTGTTACAAAAACTTGAAATGACTAATGAGAATATGGGTTGGTAAGTTATCTGTCAGTTTACTCCAATAGAATATGTAATTTGTTCATGTGGGTCGGGTGTTTTCTACTTCAAGATCTACCTGTAAATGGCGGACACATTAGGAACATTAGTTACGCACAAACACCCTAGATGTGAACGTAGAAGTGGAGCCATGGTTTGATGATTGCTGGTGCCATAGTCTTTAATGCAAACCTTTAATCTTCATATAACTAGATTAATATTATGTCAATTGATACCATCTTAGAAAATTTTGAAAATCAAGGAATAAGATTGTTTACCCTCAAACTCGGATAACAATTAAATTTATAAGCGATTTTAAGGATACGCGGATTAACTTGACACAAAATGATAAATTAAGTTGCTATTGAGTAAATAAAGATAAATAAATTCAAACCACATGAGTTGGATAATTTCAGCCTTGATGGAACAATTTCCCTCGAGCTGGGCTCACCACGACCGGTGTCGATAAACAGAAGAATAAGAGCTTAAAGAAAGAGAAAATAATAATGTATTGCTTTTGAGTGCATGTTACAATGTGTAAAAATAAATTATTAGACCCCCTTTATATAATAGGGGAGCCCTATTTTAGGTACAACTCTATAAAAAGGTAAAAATTTTTCTGATTCACTGATTGTCGGCTCCTTATCGATACGCGCCGAGATCCCCGCCGTAATATTCGGCCGGTCCCGAATATTTTGGCCTTCTGTTGGCTATGTTGGATTGTCTGACAATGTTCTTCGAAGTCGCTCGAGGCTACGACAGATTTCGGGATCATGGCCTCGATATTCTCGAAGGCAGGCGTCATGCCCCCGGGTTCTAGTCCGGTGGGATTTTGGGCTCGGTTTCGGTCCCTTATTGCCATGTCTCGAGCTTTGGCTTATCTTGTCGGAGGCTAGGATGCATCATGAGGTCGGTTTCACCCGTATACAGATAGTCCCCTCGTTTTTCGGAGAGTAAACGACGAGAAACGACATGAGCTTCCGATTCTTGCTTCGAAGCATCGTAACAGAAACGACAAAACAACTGAAACGTCTCGTCAGTCAAGTCTTAATGGCATTAAATTCATGTCAGCCGGCGGTCGGCTGTCCCTGGATGCGAAACATCGCTAAAATACTATAAATACCCCCTTTGTTCATTTTAACTTTACATCCAAACCTTCTACCCTCGTACCTTTAAGATTTCAATATTTTCTAGCATTTTTACTCAGGTTTTTCGAGATTCTTTGCAAGAATTTTTACCCGTCTTCATCTTAAGCCATCAAGTCCAATCTTTCAACTTCCTTTCTTTCTCCACCTTTCTTAGATTTTCCTCCATTGTATAAAGAAATGGCAAAGACTTCAAAAATCGTTCCCCAGAAAGAAACCCCTTCTACTTCGCGGCCGGCTACTGAGGCCGAGGAGACTGTTTCGCGCGCTGCCGTTGACGAACCAGTACCTGAACCCCTTTGAAAATGTTCATCCCCGGGGGACGCTCGGTCAACATCGATTTCAAGGTTGAAAAACCTTCCTCCGTACAAGGCCAGTGTGAGGAGGTCTCGAGATACATCTGCTCGATCACTGAAGAAGTCCTCCATATGGTCCGAAAAGACTGCAACTGGGTCGGTAATGACATAGTAATCCCCCACCCCGATGAGACCATCACTACCTATGTCGAGGGATACTCAAGTGTTTACACTTATCCCTTTACACTGGGCC